CACGTAAACAGCTGTTCGTGCAGCAAACTCAAATTTCACGTAGGCACTGTTTTTATCGAAGATGAGAGGAAGTTTTTCATTGGCTCGCTTTCTCACGTGCTCTATTTCATTCAAGGAAAAAAAAACGCTTACGAGTTTTAAAAAAGTTCCACATTGCAGATAATCCAGCGTCGGTTATATGGAACTCGTCTTTTATATGTAAAAACTCCCGTTTTAGTTCATCTATTTTTTCTTTTTCTGTTTTCTTTCTTTTCCTCTTGATATTCGGCCCTTCGTATCCGTTTCCGCCAGATATCTCATCGTATTTGTGCTTAACCGCTCGTGTATCATACACAGGACCAAGTATTTCATCGATGTCTGGTACAGCAGGACAAAGCGACAGTGTTTCCGCTGTAAATTGTATCAGAACTGTCAATTATTTAGAAAGAACATCTTTCTTTCGATTTTCCAATATCTCGCATTTGATACTTTCGGCAACACTACATATTTCGAGAGACTGACCGATTTTCAAAAAATACTCTTGCACGAGAGACAATAAGTCCGTGATATCAATTATGCCGAGCTCTTCGAATTTTTCAAGCGCAAGTTCAATAAATGAACTAGTAAATGTAATGTAAACTGTTTTTTCATGCGGTTGAAAACATACTACATCGGTAAACCGCGTAAATATTACTTTTTTGTCCCGATGAGTACAGTTCGAAAAAAAGAACTTTTCCATTTAATGGTAACTCTTCTACACAATCGATTCGAAAGTCGAAATTATTTGTCATTTCGAGCTGTGCTATAATGCTTTTGCTGCCTGCCTTTTTAGCGTCGCGTATCAGACAACTGATATGACTTGACAGTTGTTTCTTCACCGTTTTAACGGATAAAAAATACTTTCTCTCGAAACAATAATCACAAATGTCATCGATTATCGTTGTGGAGTTAAATTTTCTAATTTTTTTGGTATATAATTTAAAAAAATTTCTTTCATGTAGAGAAAATTCGTGCGCACAATCAAAGCCGTGCCCAAAAAATGAAAAGAAATTTGCGACTGAGGAGCCTGTTGAGAAGAGGTGAAAACTGTAACATCAAAGATAACATCGGAATTACAGGCCGCTACTGAGTTCTTCTTTGCTGAATTGCGAGGAAGATAAACTGTTAGAGTGGAAACAGCTTTTTTTTCCCTTGATAGTTGCAGAGAAATGGCGTTTTTACATGCCTTCTCGATCACTAGGCTCGCCAGGACTTCATTTGAGTCAAAATTGGACTCAAGATCTTCAGTTACTTTTTTGATAATAGTATCCAAAATGTTTGGATCAAAAATAGTGACACCAAGAACTGCTAGGTCTACCAGAATTCGAGCCGTCATTACAAAGAAAATCAGTGAGAAAAACTTGTTACCTGTACAACGAAATTTTGTTTCGCGTAAACGAAGCCATAAAATAAAATGTCTTTATTTGTGAATTTCAATAACGATCAAGAGAGAACAGGCAAGGAATAATCACACAGAGAGAGGAAACGTTCGTGTATTACGCAACCGAGTATGGTCTTTGTTTCGCAATGTGAAAAAGACAAAGAGTAGATAGGCATACATGGCGTACATGTTATATGTCTTTATACGTCCTTTTAAAAAGCATCGTTATTTTAGAATTTCAATGACGATCAAGAAAAGATAGAAAGTAAAGGAATAATAACACAATGAGAGAGTTTATCTTGCACTCTCATAAATCATTCATTCATCTCACTTCATCAAACGCATAAAATACGAACATCCGTTCAAATCTTGAATTAAAAAAGAATACTTTCTTTTTAGATAAAAAATGGCAACCGTTGAGCAACAACAGCAAACAGTCACACCCATTCCCGATGATCCAACAACGTCAACATCGTCGTCATCGTCAACATCACCATCGTCGTCCGCCCCATCGTCGATGGTGTCGGATGCAAACAAAACAGCTTGGGCGAAAGAAAATTGGACAAATTTAAAACGACTTGGTGGTGGTGGTGGTGGTCGTGGTAATAGAGGTGGTGGTGGTCGAGGTAGTGGGTCTCATTGGCATCAACAGAGTAAGTGAAATTAATATTAAATTTTTGATAACCATCCGTTCTTATTCCCATTGCTACCAAAATCCATCACTGGTACGAAGGAAGTTCTAATTGCGAAAGAATAGAATTAGACGGGAGAAAGAATGGGTGTCGCACAATAATAACGGTTAATTTTTGCTTTTTTGCTAGGTTATGTCCATTGTTGTACATGCAATGCGTATCGACAACATTCAGGCATATGCCCCTTCAACGACATTTAATTTTTTTTGTTTTAAAAAAATTTAAAAGTTAATAAAGAGCTGTGCTAGTTCATTGTTTTTATAAACGAAAAAGTTAAAACGAAACGCAGAAGGAACGTATAAGCACTGCTCATCATATTCAGCATTTTGTACCTTTCTAGATAAGCATATACTTTCTTCTTCTCTCTTTCCTACTTCTATTATGAAACTCAGAAGTAACGGTCGAAAACCGAATTTTTGGAGTGATCTCCATAATGGTAAAGGCTGTAAGGATTCACCTCCTCCAGCTGAACCTGTACTAGGTCCGATCCCGAAACGGAAAAAAAATTTGAGGTCGCTCATTCCTCATTTGCAACGTTTCCTTTACAAGAGAGCTTCGGACAATGGAAATGGTGAAAAAAGACAGGAAACAATTCCATTGATCAGCAAATCTCTTGTGTCATTGTTGAAAACACAAGGGATGACAAAAATATGGGCCCCAGCACCATTTCTTATGGGAGCGTTGACGTGTGATTTTACCGTCAAAGACTACGTGAAATCAGCTGAACATGTTCAGTTTAGACCGATAGAAAAAAATTTCAGCTGTTTTGATGCCACCAATAGTCTCATCGAAACCGATGGTGCGTACTTCCTTGGAGTACGCTTTTTAAAGGGTCAGCCTGTTCTTCGTTCTGCGGGTACGTAATGTCCTGCAGCGAGTGTAAGTTTACTATCATTTGCATCATTTACAGTAGCGGCAAAAAATTACCGGTACATCCCCAATCTCTTTTTTTTTTGTCATAACTCAGTAACAAAAAAGCTTTTGACAAGCGGTTTACATCAACGCATTGTTCGCTCACTCTAGTATATTTGTAAATAATAAAATTAGAAATTCGTTATTGCTCTTTGTATTTCCATTAGACTGAAAAGTGAACTTTTTCTGGTTGGTAAAAATTTTCCGTACAGTTTATAAAAATCGTTTACGTTGTGTAAGTACCAAAGCTAGATGAAAACTGCATAAATGGATAGAGAGACCAATAATGAGTATATCTAATTTTTATTATTCATGAATATACTAGACAGAGCGGACAATATGTTCATGCAAATCGCTTGTCAGAAGCTTTTTTCCTTCCGGAGTTATGACAAACAGAAGCCGAACTTTCTCTCAAAGCTATTTGTCTCTGAATGAGAGACGCAAAACATAGTAAACTACAAAATGACTTCCTACCAGGCAACCAATACTCACACGACACTTCTGGGTTTCTACTTATATTCTTACCACTTCCCTTTCTCCTTTCCCATCTTTTCCTCAACTTTGTCGGTCGACATATCGCTCTATTGCTCGTCACTCTCGATGGGTCAAACAATAATATGAGAACTATCAGAACTGGGTGGATCCATCGAAAAAATACCTTACCTTTCTGAAAAAGTTTTTGCGTACTTCTTTTGGGTTCAATAGGTAGCACCGAGGTAGAAGACATATCTTGCCGAAAAAAGCTAGGGACATGTCCGTGGAATCCTCGAGATTTTGTGACGTCTTCTGGTACATGTCTGGCTAGGGATCTACGTCCGTTATCACCGTATAAATGTGTAAAAAATCTATAATTAGAAATTATAATTATCACAATTCCATCAGCTATAAGAGACCGAATTGCAATTTTACATAAATTACGAAACCGATGTCATCGAAATAGAAATCGAAGTGTTTTTGCATATGATCTTTACATGGCAGAACGATCCTTTGTTTCTGCTTTAATCGAAAAGTATTGAGCACAGCAGTATTTACAGTTTTTTGAGAACAACGACTACGATATCACTTCTGAGCCACACTTCACATTATCGACAACTTTATACTAGCCTTACAACCTCTTCTGCAATCGGAGATTGTTGTAAAAAATCACGGCGATCGATAGTACTTTTAATTCTCTATTCAATGATATATAATTCATTGAAAATTGAATTTTTCTCGCAGAACATTCACATTGCTCACACTTCG